GATATATTTCTTATTGTTTCTTAAAATAGCTTTCTAGTATAAAAATTTTAATTTTTAAACTAGAAAGTTGTTTTAAGAAGCACTAAAAAAGCTGTCCCAAATGAAGCCTTGATCTTTTTCATTCTAGATCGGAAGTTTGAAGATATGTTATTTGTTTGTGCTTAATATTGAGATAAGCTTAATGAGCAATATTTTATAAAATAATGACTTTTTTATGACTTCGAGTTAAGGCTTCATTTGGGACAATTTTTTTTACTGTTTCTTGAAGCAGCTTTCTAGTATAAAATTTTTAATTTTGATACTAAAAAGCTGCTTCAAGAAACAATAAAAATGCCACCCCGAATGAAGCCTAAATCCACTTACAAACCACTTAATGTGGAACCTGAAGTTTTGTCATGAGCATATAAATATTAATATTTTTTATATTTTTTATGATTTCATATATTTCATGGTCTATTGAATTTGAGGTGAGGGCACCTTTATGATATTTTTTGTGATTTTGGTCTTTTTATAGTATTTTTTTGTTTGTAGGGGCACATACAAAGTATTTGTGAGGGCTTTTTTTTATATATTTTGGGAGTCAATAATAAAGATATTAATGATGATAACATTGCTTTTTGGGTAAATCTCAGCACAAAGTAAACAAAATCTTTTTAAATTAAAAAAAAATGTTTTAAAATAGTAATAAAACTGTCCCAAACCAAGGAGAAATCAGAAATTATTACGTGCGGATACCGAACAGTTCAGAGACGAATCAGGAGTCATCATGTCACCCGGATACACAGCAGGTACACAATAAAATGACATGACTAGTCCTAATTCATCTATAAACGATATCCATTGGCTAATAATTTTACCAAACCAAGCCACCAATCCAAAATGTCAAATACTACGGGAAAAGTTAACGGCTAAAAGCAAAAAATCACTCGCTCAAGAATCTGGTTAAGAATTCAGCCAACAAAATATTAATTAAAAAAATATGAATTTAATATCTGAAATATATTTTTTAATGAATATCATATTCATCGATCCTTATAATAAGGTAGTGTGCGGAGTTGGCTTCAGATACTGATGATTAATCGTGCCTTGGAAAATTTTTGTATGTGGACTCATATATTTATACATATAAGTAAAGTATTATATATTAGGCATTATTTAAAATTGAGCTAATTAAATTCGTGATTTATTTAAGAATTAAATTATTATTTAGCTTATGTGGTATCTCATTTAAATTTGTATGAAATTAATTATTTGTGTAGAGATAAAGAATTTATTTTATTTTAATGATAGACTGAAATAAAATAAATACAATTAAAATATAAAAGGGTCGTGGTCCACATTTTAAGTGGCTAAGTTCTAGTTTCCCTCATTTTCCATCTTGAGTGAAAAGAAGAGGTCTCTCGCTCTCTTGGAGAACGTCGTTTTAAACGTGAAAGATCGAAGACCTTGATTATGCATTTCAATAGATTCATGTACGCTTCAGGTAGTTCTTCTCGATGATTTGACATGTCTTTCGGAGACAATTAAATTTTTTTTCCATCTCATTTAAATCCTAACATGATGATGCCTTTGGTGGAGGTGATAATTGTCACTACCCAACCCGACCGGAACGAACCCCGTCGGGCCGCTACAAATGATGAAAATCCATGATCTAATTTTAGAATTTGCTTTAGACTTTCTTTCAAATATCAAACTTACAGAAAACACAGAGCTACTATAAACATCAAATATACATAACAGTTTATCTATATTTTCTTCATTCATCAAAATAATCATATACAATACAGTGCATGACTACAGACATAAAGAATAGAACAGAAAAATCATGATTGTACAAAAATCAAAAGTACAAAATACCTAATCACTGATCAGACACAGAACTACTAGTCCAATATCTCATGCCCTTTCCCAGAACCTTAAAACCACGCAGATAACAAGGATGAGCTAACAGCTCAACAAGACTACCCTTACCAATCAAAATCTCCAGAAACACACATCAGAAAACACCTCAGAAGCAGTTATTCAATTAACCGTACATAAATCGTATAGTCAACAGAATACAGATACTTGATCAAACCGAAATCAAACCATAAACGAAATTCATTTCATATAACAAAATATTCAAGTCAGATTTTACAGAACAGACAGAATCGTACAGAACAAACATAATCGTACAAATTAGATTTCAAATCAGATAAAATCACATTTCACATATCAGCTAACACATATCAGATTCCCGGACCCTGACAGAATCTCAACGGATTATGCCCCATTATGTCTCCCTTTGTGTTTATAGCACCAGAACATAACAGATATACAGAATTTTTAGAACAGAACTTATTTTGAGATTTTCCTGACCCAGAAAATGGAATCACAAAGGATTCCGGCCCCTTAGAACTCCCTTCTGATATCACAGCATATCAAAACATTCAAATCAGAAAATCAGATTACGTTAGAAAAATCGTCAGTGACATAATGGCAGTATACGGAATGTACACAGAATTCACATATTCAGAAATTTACCAAATTATCACATATAATACAAAACAGCATTATAAGACTTTTATTGTACTGAAACAACATTTTTCAACATCCTGGTAATTCATAATTCGATAAAAACGCGACAAAATTCAAAATACCCGGTAAACATTTCCAGAAATACTCAAAACGTGCACAAATATCATCTCAGAAACATACTAAAAGTTACGCGGTAAAAAATTCATCAGTGCGAAACGAAACCAAATATTCGCTAATGGAAATAAAATCCGAGACAGAAAAGTCGTCAAAATTCTCGTTTCTGAAATTGAGAAAGGCGGAATGTGCCTTACCTCGAGTCGGTCAACTTTTTCAACTACAGCGACGGACGAAGACCGAAGTCACCCAAAAATCACTTTTCTTCCTTTTTTCCTTCGACTTTCTCTCTCCTGACTTTTCTCTCTCTTCAAAAAGATCTCATTTCCATATATATCCATGCAGATCGTCCAGGACGATCCAAAATCGTCCTGGGACGATTTGCACACTGGACGAATTTCGTTCAGACGAAATAGTCATCGTTCTTGGACGAGCTGCTCTCTGGACAAATTTCGTACTGACGAACCCTACTTCGTCCTAGGACGAACTTCTCTGTCACCTGATTTTGAACCGATCGTCCCGGACGAACCTGGAAGGAAAAACTTCGTCCGAACGAACCTGCAAGAAAAAAAATGGCTTTCACAATAATGAAAACTCAAGGCATGAATAGAGAAAAAGGGATTTGCTAATTATCAGATGCTCATAACTCCTAAGTGCTTTTGAGAAGGATAGAGAGGGAATAAAAGCCTCTTTTTTGAGATATTTTGAATTTTTGATCTCCCTAATCTCTCAAAGGGGGGCTGTTTTTATAAACTTCTAATGATTACCAAATTATTATTGCCAATACTAATCCACTGACTCACTCATTATATTTATTTCTAATAAATGGTCAAACATCTTAGGCGAAGTTTGAAATTAACACAAAATACATATAAAATTATAATTGAAATTGATGATTTCATTTAAAATAAAGCTAAATTCCAAATAACTAGAAGTTTTAATTATCTTTTATAGGATTATTATGTGCTGAAATATTGATGATAATAGAAAGAGTGTTTATCATCTTTGTAATATACAAACAAATATTGAACACACATAAATAAATAGATTAAGAGTAACTCATAGGAGATAAATGATTTTTAACATTTAAAACTCAGAGTAGGAAGAAAAATCATAGGTTCTTACCTAATGAGTCCACTAAGATTAGTCTTAGATAATTATAATAACATTCTCTATCATTAGAGAAAGCATTTATAAAATATTGTGGGTATGAATTGCAATATTTATAATTTTCATGGTCGAAGTAGGAGAAGCATTGAGACATTAAAAGTTCTCATCATTGATGGTCTATTTAGGCTTCGGTTGAGATGACTTTCTTACTGCTTCTTAAAATAGCTTTATAGTAAAAAAAATTAATTTTTAAATTAGAAAGTATTATACATTAGACACTATCTAAAATTGAGCTAATTAAATTCGTGATTTATTTAAGAATTAAATTATTATTTAGCTTATGTGGTATCTCATTTAAATTTGTATGAAATTAATTATTTGTGTAGAGGTAAAGAATTTATTTTATTTTAATGATAGACTGAAATAAAATAAATACAATTAAAGTATAAAAGGTTCGTGGTTCCCATTTTAAGTGGCTAAGTTCTTGCTTACCTCATTTCCCATCTTGAGTGAAAAGAAAAGGCCTCTCGCTCTCTTGGAGAACGTCGCTTTAAACGTGAAAGATCAAAGACCTTGATTATGCACTTCAATAGATTCAGGTATGCTTCAAGTAGTTCTTCTCGATGATTTGACATGTCTTTCGGAGACAATTAAATTATTTTTCCGTCTCATTTAAATCCCAACATGATGATGCCATTGGTGGAGGTGATAATGATCGGCGATGGTGATTATAGCTTGATAATCATTGATGACGGTGTTAAATTGCCTACGATTGAATAATTGAGGTCTTTTTCATTATTAAGAGGTTAAAAATATCTCGAAATAAGATAAATTTTATTTTTAATATTTTTGAAAACACCTTAAATAATTTAAAAAATAGTTACAAGCACAAATTAAATATATTTTTAAAAAGTGAAATAAAATAAAATAAAAATAATGGGCCACATGACCTAAGTGTCAAAGAATATTTTAATATAAAGTTATTATAACAAGTTGTCAAATATGATAAATTATTATTTATTTTAAAAACATTAAATTATATCAATTTTAAAAAATTTTCGTTACTATTTATTTTGTTAAATTTTTTTTTTTCTACAAACATAATTAAAACATGCAACTTCGGCAAATTACGCCCATCACCATCAGGCGATCTATGTCTCTATGCCGTGCTTCCCTTATTTTTTCGAAAGATGAAAACAAATACTACCCCCTACGTTTGCAAAAATTAGCAGGAACGTAGACTAGAGAGAGAAATGGAGAATGAAAAGAGGAGAGAGGAAGAGAGAGAAACCTCATTAATGCACATCGACCTTTTGATCTCTCTCCTTACTCGCACTTCGCAGGCAGCCCTCACTCCGCAGTCGATATTTACCCCCGCTTTTGATTCTCCATTTACCCTCTGTTACTTTTTCTCGGATCACTGCTACTTCTTATGCCACGGCCAGAGCCCGGAGGAGAAAAGATGAAGATGAGAACAGTCTCCGCTCTCGTGAACCTGGAGATCTTGTCTTTGTCTAGGGCATAACGGTCTGAGCTCCTTCGGCGTCCGCGGCCCTAGCGTGGGCATAGTTGAGGGGCATGCAGGGCTACTGCTGGCCATTTGGCCTGTGTCCCGTCAGTGGCAGCTGTTGATTGTATTGAAAGGAAAATGAGCGTTATTCTGGTGCTTTCCCTCTGTCTGCTTCCATTTAGTCTTTGTTCCCCAGGTATCGCCTACGGGTTTCTTTAACTGGTTATTCTACAATTGCCGTCAAATTTGATTCCCGGTTTTCTTTCTTTAGTTAGATTATTGGAGTCCTCTTGTGCTGGTCGAAATTTAGGGGAAAATAATGTTACAATGCTTTGTCAAATCCATGGGATGCCTCTGCTGACAACTTATACATTGCTAGAGACGTGATATGATTAGGTGTTTTGCATAAGGAGTTCGTCAGCTTTGGCAAATTTGACGAGCTTTATCTAAAATGACTTGGAACTATTAGAATTGTCGGTGTTACTGGATTGTGATAAATGCTTTCCCTAATTCGTCATTTTCTTATTTATTTGGTGTTTTTCAAGAAGCTGTACTAAGTACTGTGCTTGATGAAAGAAATAAGCACAATGTGCGTTAGGGTTTACCTTAAGACAGAAGCAATTTGGATTAACGGTCAACCACTGTTCTTAATCTTGCAAGATCTTCCTTAAAAACCGTTGCTTGCACTGATGATCACAACTTAAGAAGATTGAAAACAGCCGCTAGTTTCAATGTAAGGTCCCAACAACACCACCAAGCATGGTGTCTAAGTTGTACTGTCCTCGGCTCTTCAAAGAGGCTGTTGGGGTTTTGACGACTAGGCCGCCCCCGCCCAAAAAATGTAATTGCCTGCTGAGAGGTGGATTGAATATAAGATAAAATAGATAGCATGAGTTTCAAGCAACCATTACATTCTATCTAATCTTAAGGGGTAAAGCTTATGAAAGCGCTCAGGCTAAATAACAAGTAGAGAGGGCTTCCATGAAATCCTTCCATGGATTCTAGCATTCAGTTAAGCCACATTGATGGCATTCCTTGTGATATTCCATCATTGTAGGCCACTAGTAGTGTCAGTTGTCGAAATTTCCATTTTAGGCGCTATGTATTATTTCTTTCCTTCAGTTGATCGGCTGGTATTGGAGATTTTTGTCAATCCGCACTTTTTGGCCTATCATGTCACACTTGTAGGTCTAAAACTTAACATCTCCTATTTGTTCAAAAACAAGCACAACAACTTCAATTAATTATACTTAAAAAATATATATTGTGTGACCTGAACTTGTAAAGCACAACAACTTCAAATTAATTATATTTAAAAATATATATTGTGTGACCTGAACTTGTAAATAGAACTTCCAAAATTAATAAACTTCTCGAACCAAGTTCAAGTTTATCAAACACAAAAATGGATGCTCGTTGTTCTATGGCTACACATAGATTTTGCCTAACCCTACTTGGGTTCCATTTTTGGCTCACCATGTGTCCACAATTATAAGCTCAATGAAGCAGATTAATCTATCCGTTTAGGAATCTCATATGATGATGATCTTGCAACATATGAACCTTTGCTTATGTATGATTAACCTAGGTGGAAAGCTAATTGTTTTGTAACTATAACACTTATATTGGTTTTCCAATAATTGTTATAGGAAAGTGTAAAAGCAATGAGCATCAAATTGTCACTTCAGTCATGATTGAAGGAGGATTATACAAATTGAAGCTAATTTTTCCACGAGGAACTTGTAATTGGCATATATAAATCGATCCTCTTATTTTTCATATTTTAAACTATATCATACTTTTATGTTAAGCATGGCGAAAAGTTTATTTTTATTTAAATTATCTTATCAAGTAAACAATCATATGAATATTCATGTAGTTGCATCGATACATATTACAAACTAAATTATGTTTACGCATAAGCGCTTTACACTGAGATTTATTAATTTAATCCTCAATGCCTAATAAATTTATCACAATTGGTTGATATCCATACATAAATGACTCTATAACTTTAGTGGCAAATATATAAGTAGTGGTTCTAATAAAATTTTCAAATTTTGCTACTTTCTCTAATAGCTTAGAAAATATAGTGATAGAGGTCATTCATAAATAATACGCCATCTTATCATTAAAATTGCCCATCAACAATTGAATGGCATGCTCCTTTTTTAGTTATGGGTCATATTTCATTCTCATGTTTCACCAGCACATGATATATTTGATTACTAACTCATCTCTTTTTCATTTCTCTAAAGCGATGTTAATAATAGTAGTCTTCTCTGTTGCACTGAAAATTTTATTCACAAACATAGTTTAAAGCTCGACGAATGTCTATTTGACATATCATTTAAAAATGGTTGATGTTAAACTACTAATGAAACGGTATAAATCCAATGTATCTACACCTCCAATGTGTCATAGGTCACTTTGAGTTGGGTCAGACGCTGTTTCAGATTACCTTTTTGATTAAATTTGTTATATTTCGGTACTGAATAAGTTGGATATGACACTTAGTTGTACTTGGTTGTGTACGAGCAACCTTTGCTCATGAATTTTTCTTCCTGTTCTAAAGCTATGGCGGCCTTGACTTTCTCATTAATGAGGGTTTAAGTTGAGTATCCTCCATTGGCTTAGATGTGCCAGGAATATTTTGAAAAGTGGGATGATGTGCTGTTGGATTAAATTTAGCTTTGCCTCCAAGAGCTCCTTGTATTCTAGAAACATGGATGCTAGGCTTACTGGTAGGTTGATTGAAGCACAATTTGATGCTTGATAGTTGAAAGGTGCAGGCATGGGGCTAGAAGATACATTCTTTTGCATTAGCTGCGCCGTCATCTCATTCACCATGACACTTAATTGAGAAATTCTTTATCCTTGGTTTTCAGTTGACACAGCATTCGCTTTTCTGTTTGATCTAATGCCATATCATCAATGTGTATTTGTTCTTATTCTTCTTCTTGCTCTTCTTTTTCACCTTGCACATCTCATGGAGTAGGATTTAATAATTCTTCTTCTTGCCTTTGTTGGTTTCTATAGGAAAATGAACAGGTAAAGCTTCTTGTTTTCGCCGATAGACAAATAGATTGGGCTGTTCACTAGTACTCCCCACATTGTATACTACCTCAAAATATAATCTTCTTCTTCTTTTTCATCATCATTTTCTTATTCTTCTTGTATTCGAATTTTCAAGCGGAGTCTCCATTGAATTTTCACTTTTGCATGTGGGATAAACATCTCTTTGATCGGGGACTGAAGTCAAAATCGACATGCTCCTGAGACGGTGGAATTGGCCCTTGATGGGATTACTTGGAGGATTCTCCATGTTGGTGATCATTGTAGGGTTCATCAATAGGAACATTCTTTTTAGGCACCCATTCTTGGCAGATTCTATTGATGACAGATTTGGGAATATCTTTTAGATCTTACACCTTTTTAATTTTTTCATAAAATTTTCTTCTTGAAGTGTAAGACTTTAGATCTGTTTTCCCTTGCACTTGGATTTTTCAGCAGTGGATTCTTGGATATGCAACCTAAATGTTATGCTCTGATGTTCACCTTGATGAACTTGCCTTTATATTTGTTCAGCTATCACAAAGGTTTGAAATTATGCAGCTAGGTATTGAGATATTTTCTTATTGTGAGGATAGATATAAGTGTAGAAGCATTTTGATGCGTAAGCCTCAGACTTAAACCATTAGATTAATAAAAATATGGAATAATATATAACACTCTAACATTAAAGTAAAAATGTTAAAGTAATGTAAAAAAAAAATCAAAGGCCATTATAAGTCATGCAAGGTAACAAAAATTGTTAAATAATTAGTCTTTGCTACTTCTAGATGATCTTATGAATTCGAAAGCCTACCTAACTTTTATCACTTAGATGATCTTCATCAGAATTATCATTGTTGTTAATTCCTTTCTCTCCCCTCTCATGTTAAGAATAGAAAATTAGTTTCCAATAACAAGAGGAGTGGCTTTGGAGGACAAGCAACCACAACAATGCAACAATGACAACAATGTAATAGGATTAGGCGGGCATGAGGGTCCAACGGTATGCGACCGCAAGTTTGAGGTTATAGAGTTATTCTTAAGCTTTTTTTGGCTTAAATATAAGCAATAGGTTTAATTATATTAAAAGGTTTATAAATTAAAATTAAAAATTACCTAAACCTTACTTTAGATGCTTATGCCTTTTCAAAAATGTTCTAAAATTACACCAAGGCTTGCTATGAGGCGTACCATTCCTCCCCTAAGGCGTAAGCCTCATCTGGCAAGCATGTGGCGTAAGCCTCATTGCCCTTTTTTAAAGTTGTATTGGCTGTCTTTAATTGCACAATTAGTAATCATAGCTATCACAATAGATGATATTTGGCTGGCAAGAGTCTTTTTAACATTTATAATAATTTGTTGTTGGTGCTTCTTCATTAAGCCCTTTTCTAACTTTAAGGATTTTATGCACTTTGTCACAGTCTCGAGTTCATTTTCTATGAAACTTTGTCCTAGTGTTATTCGGCCCAAAAAGATTGCTTGAAGTTGTTGGGGTAGCTATTTTTCTTTACCCATCTAATTTTCAAACTTATTTTGAGTAGGAATACGTGCTGTCAGTTTTGAGTCTTATGGTACTATTGGTTGCTTTGGCAATAGTTGTTGAGCTCGCAGCTCAATATTTTGTTTTCTTTCTTGTCTCATTGATAATTTTATAAGTAATATAACAAAGTTTTTTTTTATATATAGGTTTTAATATTAACATTAGCAAATTTTGTTATCTTGCCATCTACTAGTGGAATATAAGTCCATTGTGTGTTTTTCTCTCAGATTTCCTACAGTTTTTCTACTGTTTCCTGCGATTTGGGCTGATTTCCTGCAGAAAACAGCAGCTCTAGTGCTGTTTTCCCCACTCGAGTCGATAGGAAATACCTGGATCTAAGTATTTCCTATCAATCTCTCTAGCGTAGATGGCTCAGTAGACAAGGTGGTAATATTTACGGGCACTAGAGACTTTCTACCCATGAGTTAATCTTTCACATGCAGAGATTTTGTTTCGTAAAATTTCAATAGTGATTGTTTCAACATACATCCTTTAATCATTTAATGTGCATGTTGATGTGCACGATGTGCAAGTACTTAGCAGATTGAGGCCTCTTGACAAGAGATTGAACAAGTACAACAATTGCCATTATAGTAGCAATA